ATAACACAACATATTTTGCTGTAAAAGCCTTATAATATTTATAGTCACCTATTACATTCTTTTACAAAGTAATAATGCATTTCAATTGTCACAAAATTCTTCAAGCGGTTTGTCCTCACTAGAAACCAAGTTATTGTAATATATTAAAGCAGTGTTAAAAGTTGCGGAAATATTCACACATTATTCTCCTTTATATACGTTATTTTTCTTACAATACTTAAAAACATAAAAGCTACACAAAGTTCTTTTATTCATTTCAATGTTTTAGTATTTGTCCCTAACACGATATCCAAACAGTGGAAAGTGAAAACATTTCGTTTAAACACTCTCCCTAAGATAAATTTATGTTCGGACTCTATGCTAAAAATATGGTTCATTCTCTGCATACCTCACATCCCGTGATACAAAGAGTCTGAGACTGAGGATCATAGCATGCATATCCTTTTTTGTTGAAGAACATCTTAAGAAGATACACCGGATGGCACAAAGGTCAAGTTTGTCACAATGTAAGGCTTGTTGGTGCACATAACAAACCAGATACTCGAATTTGATACATGTTACACTCTCTCCCTTTTAAGACTTTCAATGGTGATTGAAACTAGATTACATGACTTGGAGGCCTATTTATCATGCACACAACTGTTAGAACTTCGTGCGACCAAAATTTCTTCGGAACAATCATTCGAAGCACGAGATCTCTTGTAGTCTCCCAAATATGTTGATTCTTTTTTCTGCTACTCCGTTTTGTTGGGGGTGTACCAACACAACTAGTTTGCTGAAAATACCTTCATTGCGAAGAAAGGAAGGAAGGATACCCTTTGCAAATTCGGTCCCATTATTCAAATGGAAAACCTTGAATCTAGTATTAGATTGAGTGAATACCATGCTATGAAAATCCTTTAAAAAAGAATAAACTGCGTTCTTAGATGTCAATAAATAAATCTAAGTGGCACATGAATCATAGATAAAAATGACAAAATATTAAAATCATTATATGAATCAATACGATGTGAACCTTATAAATCAGAATTTATTAACTTAAAAAGTTTAACAGACATGGATGAATTATTAAACAATAGACGAACTTGCTTGAAAAATTAATGAGTATCCCAAATATTTGTCTCAAAAGACATAGATGGAAACAAAAAATATTACACACACGATTAGAAGATAGTTTAATCTTTGATGCAAAACAAGATTTTCTAGCATAGCATTATTGAGAAAAGTAGCACCGAATGGTTTTAACGGATCTTCTTCCCAGAAGTTCGATTCTGAAACACAATAGCAGTAAGAGAGAAAATAACATTGCAACTTAATTTTTTTT